CTGCCCCCATTTTGTGGAAGGGATCATCAAAGCTCAGAGAAATCAGGTCACACAGATTTTAAGTGTGGACCAAGTCTGACTCCAAAGGGCAAGAGTGTGGCCATTCTACTATCATCTCATCAAGCTACTGTGGAGATGTGTTAGGAATGTCTGAGCATCTGCTTTCTAGACCAGATAAATTAGACAACTTCAAAATGGAGAGATAGAAAGCTTTTAGAGATGCAAAGAAGAATATGTGAGGTCCTAGCTTTGATCACCAGCAACCACTCCCTCAAAAAAAAATGCAATAATGCATAGTTTTAGAAACCAACACAGAAATGTGCCCTTCACACAGGAAGAACTCACCACAGAACAATCCTGTCTAAACAATGCCCTGGGGCAAGTGGTGACAGGCTCCACAAACAGCTGCAACTGCTAGTGCCTGAACAATGCTTCCATGTGTGCAATATACAAAGTGCATTTGGTCACCCAGTGGGTCCTTCTGTCCACAGATGTTTTCACAGACAAATCTGTCACCATCAGCAGTGTTTCCAAACACAAAGGCTTGCATGGTCCTAAGTGATGATGTTATGAGAAAACCTAGGACCAGGGGGCTAATCTGCCAAGGTGTGCTGTCCTGGCTATCTGTCCCATCAGGGAACAATCCACACAAAGCATGAAGAGTTGCTGTCAGAAGCTGAGACATGCACCTAGAAGGTAAAGCGCTGAGGCAGAAACTACAGCAACACTGCATCAGAAACTCTAAAGCTCAGTATTTCTACAAATCCCTCTAGTGAAAAAACTCAAAACACTGTCTGGCTTCCCCTAAACTACTGTGCATACCTACTTTCACCACTAACATCTCTCTCCACACATGTTTCCTTTTCCAATCCCAGTCTCCTAGGACTCCATTAAGGGGTCATCATTCCTACCTACTCTCCAACACCTCCCAGCCTCTCTTTTCTAAACTTGGCTATTCTTCACCCCAGCCCTGACTGTTCTTTTTCCCACTCTGCCAGTGAAACACCTTTTCTAAGAAGTGAATAAATTCATCTATCTTTTCAACTATTCCCTTAGAAAATACTTCTTTCATCTCCCTGAAGTTCCAAGACCAAACTGCTTCCTCGATCTCTTTTCCTTCCACACCTCCCCGTAATGTGCTTACCAAGGTCACTTCCAGGCTAGCCCTTCACTCACATGCCCAGCCTCTCAGGAGACCTGAAACCACCCTCATCACGATGCTCCATCACACACAGTCAGGCCTCCTTCAATGAGTTCAGCACCTGGACCACAGTCTCATCATTTTTAAAAGGTATATCAAAAAGCTGCATTGAAATATATAAGCAACAGTCACCAAGAAATGGGACCCATGATACTAACATCTTGCTAATTATGGTATCCTTGGCCAGCAGTAGCATTCTTGAGCAGGCTCAAGAATGAGGTCAATCATGACATGAGGGTTGGGATGATGTGATCCTTGGAATGAAATGAGAATGTCTTTGTAGGAAAAGGGCATTTAGATCTTAGGCTGCATGAAAATATTTTTTTAAAAAGAGAGAGAGAATTTTTTAATATTTATTTTTTCAGTTTTCGGTGGATACAACATCTTTATTTTATTTTTATGTGGTGCTGAGGATCAAACCCAGCGCCCCACGCATGCCAGGCAAGCGCGTTACCGCTTGAGCCACATCCCCAACCCATATAAAAATATCTTTGGATTAAAATGTCTATACCACAAAGAAACTTCCCAGGTAGATGGACATGTTATCAACTTTGGTAAGTTGTGATGCACATAGAGTACATCCTTTTGTCAAAACTGGCACTTATAGCTGGGTGCAGTGGTGCACACCTGTAATCCCAGCAGCTTAGGAAGCAGAGGCAGGAAGATCATGAGTTCAAAGCCAGCCTCAGCAACTTAGTGAGGTCCTAAAGCAACTCAGTGAGACCTTGTCTCTAAATAAAATATAAAGGGCTGGGGATGTGGCTCAGTGGTTAAGTGCCCCTGGTATCCCCAGTACCAAAAACAAAAATTTTTTTAAAAACTGACACATGTAAGATTTGTGCATTTGTGCATTTCTATATTGCAAATTATGCCTCAAAAGAAAAAAAATCTGCAAATGAGAATAATGAAAATAATGTGGGTGAAGGTAAACAGACAAAACAAGAACAACAATGTTGATAAATACTGAAGGTGAGTTCTGGGTACATGAGGGTTCGTTCATTATTCTGTTTACATTATCTCTGAAATTTTCTATAATAAAGTTTTTTTTAATGTCAAGCACCCATTTCCCATATACCTGACACTCAATCATCACATCCTTAATGACTTCAATATCTGCAACAGAACCAGTAACACTCCTACTTCAATATTTACCACAGGATCCCAACAGCCCAAGATGAATCTAAACCAGCCACTATTTCAGACATTTGAGTGCCCAGTTTAACAACACTCTTTTCTAAGAATTCCACTCTCAAAGCTTTCCCTCACTGAGTACTCCTTCTCAGTCTGTCTGCCTTCTTGCTGGTGCAAAGTTCCTGCTTGTCACTTTGGGGACCCATCCTAGGTCCTGTGTATCTACACAGTCTTGGCTGTGTATTGCAGATGCAAATATTTACTGAAGGCTCCTATAACTGTTGTGAAAGGCAGGTAAAAAAAAGCAAATGAAGTTTTTAAAAATACAACCAAATAAATCTTTTGACCTCTATCTCCTTACTGTTGGAACACTTCTTAAGTCTTTCACTGTTTGGATTTTATCTTTCTAACTATAGAAACTCTCTGGCCTAAGACTTTAACGATTCCATTTGCCTTCAAATTCAAGGCGGAGGACAACACTGTCTATTGCACATCTTTTCCCCATGGCTTCTGTACCACAGTACCCTTTCTTGGTTGCCTTCCTCTTATCCTGTCTGCTTCTTCCCAAGCTGGGTCTTCTTTCCTTTCTAAGTAAGTACTGTCCAATAAAACTTTCTACAACTCCAGAAATATTCCATACCTGTGCTAAACACTGTGGCAGCCACATGTCACAAGTGGCTACTGAACACCTGAAACAGGACTAGAATTTCATTTTAATTCAAGAGCCACATGTGGACAGTGGCTACTGTACTAGACAGTATAGTGCTAGAAACTCTCTCATTCATTCTCATGGCTTCCATTATCATATCTCTATATCCAAGGACTGCCTCTCAGATTTATGCTAAACAGTCACCTGGATGAATTCCACAAACACCTGAAACTCCAAAATGCAATTAATCACCTACACCATCGACTTTTCTCTTACCTTACCCCAAACACCTTTCCCTTCCCAGCATCCTTAGTCCTAAAAGAAGAATCCATGAACTCAGTCACCTGAGCTTAAGTCTTGGTGACTTTTAGCTCTTTGTCTTGAGTATAAGCAGATGCCTATTCTGAGTCCACCCAAAGGTTTTCATTTCAATATATATAATAAGCAAAATGTTCCTGCCAAGTATCATTCATTCAAGTGGTTAACTTTGTAGGTTTGTTTTCAAATATATTAATGATTCCCTACTGCCCATAAAGTCTAAATTTCCCAGGGTAGCAGATCTCACCCCTAGCTCTTTCTAGTCTGGCCTCTTTCTCTCTCCAAAGTCCTGTAATCCAGCCAAAAAGGATTCCTTACCATTCTCCAACACATTCTACCATAAATGTTTATGTCCACAACTCTGCTCCTACTCTTCCGTCCTCCTTAAATACCCTTTGACTCCTGTTCAAATTCTAATACTCCTTTCAACATTCACTCAAATTCTACCTCCTTCATGATATTTCTCAGGCTTTCATTTTCCCCCACCAAAGAGTAATCTTATCTTTTCTGAATTCCCAATTCACTTCTTTACTACATTTTATGACTATAATCAATTTCTACTTCGTTACAAATTAGTTATATGCATTTTTTTTACTATAGCACAAACTCTATAAAGATGCAGAGATTATGTACTAGATATCTTTCTACCCACAGGTAATGTCTAGTAAGATGAACAGTACAAATTAGGTATATAATAAAAATAAACTTAGTTCTCGATCAATGTGCTGGGATCAAACCCAGGGTCTAATGCATGCTAGACAAGCACTCTATCACTTTTGGCTACATCCCCAGCCATTTTTATTTATTTATTTTGAGACAGGGTCTCACTAATTTGCCCAGGCTGGCCTCCAACTTGCAATCCTCCTGTCTCAGCCTTCCATGTAGCTGAAATTAGAGATATACATCACAGTACCCAGCTAACGTTATAGATCAATACTTATGTATAAAAAAGTACTAAATTATCAACATAGTCATATTATTAAGTGATTTTATCAACAACCACCAAGTGTTTGAGGCATATACAGTTCCCCAGACTGCCTTAAGTATGAGCTTCTAAATATTGAAAAATGGCCTTCCTGTTCTGGTCATATTTTATCAGTATAGAGAATAAAACTGGAATAATCTATTATGTCGTCTCTGGGAATAGAGAAGATTTTTTATTTCAAATATAGTACTTTGTATCATCATGGGAAACTGGTATTTCAGGGGCTCATGGATTATAACAGGTTCAGGCTTAAAAATTCAAGTAAAGGAAGTAATAAATTATTCAATACAATAATACTTACCATTTATTGAGTACTCAATAAGCAGGCCAGACACTATTCTAAGCATTTGATGTGTATAATCTCATTTAATTTTAAGATAGGTACTGTTTTACTTTTTTTAAGATAGTTGCTATTTTACTTTTTTTAAAAAATTAGGTATATGAGGTGGCTTACATACATATTCTAACTGTCCATTAGAATAACCAAACAAATTAGTAGAAGACGCACTGATAATAGGACTATTATATGGAAGTCCTAATCAAGGAGTTCAAAATCTAGGTGGTCTTCAGTTAACTGGATCTAACACCACTGAGTCTCAGTGTTCCTGTGGGTATAAGGCTCTTCTCACTAGAGCAGCAGTAAGAATCAAATAAAATAATGCATGTGAGCATACAGAGCATTGGACTTATGGCCAAGGATAATCATGATTTGGTACCTTTCACATCTGGTCGATATTGTAGTCCATCATCTTTCTTTCCCAGTAAACTAGTATCATCTGTGTCTACAAGAGAATACAGTTTTTCAAATTAACATACGATATTGAAGTCATACCATAGAACACTCAATTATTCCTAATGCTCCAGGTCCTTGTTAACTTTGTACAATTATCCTGCTTATATTTCCCACCATTCTCACTCTCTCTCTCTGACAGATAACACTATGTATATTTATTGTATACAAAATGATGCTTTGAAACATATAACATTGTGGAATGGCTTTTACCTTCCTCTTTGTCAACTGTCCCTTTTCTGCCTCAGGCCTCAAGGGAGCACAGGTATATATGCTCTTTACTTTATGAACTACAATTTCATTTGTACTTTAGCTCAAATATCATCTACTTTTTAAAAAATCCTTCCTGTGAAAACTAAAAACAACACATACCATAAGGAGAAAGAATTCACACTCTCCAAGGAACAATGATCTAAAGATTTATCTTCTACCAGTTTTCCTGGAAAACTCAGAATAAAATTATTTTGCAATCTCAATTGTGTTATCAAACATTTTCTAGGGGAAAAAAACACTTGATTTATGAGCTGCATCTGAACTAGGAGACTGAATAAGAACCATAAATACCTGCTAGCACATAAGAGCTTTGGATCTCAATACATAGCTGGGGAGATATTAAAAGGCACAGTTAGGCTTGACTGGAAAATTACTGAAGGGGCTAAAATAAAACTTAAGGCCCAATCATTCCAAAGCAATCTAAAATCTGCATGAATTTCAATTTAAATTCTCAAGTTTGGCCAAATGCTCTGAACGTGCTATTCCAGGAACTACCAATCAGATACCAGGTTCCTCAGAGAAGATACTCTTTCTCTGAGCTATTCTTCCTACCTAAGCTCTCAATACTACCCAATGAATAAAAGAAGTCATACTTCAAGATTAAAGTCAAGAAGAATATCTATCTGCAGGAGATCTTTGTCAGGAAATGCCCCTCTTTCTATCATACCCAAAACCATACATCTGGAAATCCTCTGATGAGCTTCTTGAGTACTTTTTGGTACTGCAATCAGTTGGGAAGTATGTCACAAAGATTTATTCAAGATAAGGCAGCAAACTTTGGCATACAATCTTTTTCTTTTAGCTCAGTTAATAGCACACTCCTAAAGTATCCCTTAAGTAAGCCCAAAAAAGGAAGGGGTATAGGTAGGAAGTCGAACTAGTAAGCAGAAAAGATGTACAGTCCTCATCCGTAAAAATGTGCTTCTTCCATATATGCTACTGAGGAAGTGCTCCAACACCCCAGCTCATATGAGTACTAGTGAGGAAAAATGATTTGAGAACCTCTGGCTTCAATGACTGTCACTATTCTCACAGGGGTGGAAAACAAAACAAACCAAACAAAATCATTCTTATACGGTATCTTATAACAAAAGTGAGAATGGCAAACAATTTTAAACCAAAGGGTATCATTTCTTTCTATTCTGTAACTTCACGCCAAAATCTTTAACTGTACCTATAACACATATGGGGCAAAAACTACATAGAGATAATATATTTGAAATCACCTTAGAACTATAAATATAAATATAAATCTTAATCTCCATGCCAGGATCAGCTGGGTAACTAAATAAACCATCAAGCATTGTGATTTATGTCTTCAGAAGACAAAAATAAGTGAAAAAAATATCTAAGTAACAGGAAATTCTGAAAGATGTAAAAAAAGATAAAAAACTTTCAAGGAATTTCTCATTTTACAAATATAAAATAATACCAAGTAAGATTATAGGCATGTAATACTAAAGACAGGTCTCCATGTGATCTTACCTGTGCAATGGCCAAGGTGCCTTATATCAATTTGTTCTTGCTTTATACAAGATGCTTCTCGAACAAAACAAGGATTGTTATATGAACTCCCATCAGAGGCACACACAGGATTAAAACTGTATCCACTGCAATCTATATTACATACACACCTGTTGGAAAAGACAATAATTACCTATGTTTTACAATGAAAGTACCTCAAAATCCTACAACAGCAAAAAAGAACATCTCTCAACTTTTTCACTGCTTTTTAAAACATAAGTCAATATATTGTTTTATGTCACTGCAGAAACCTTACGCAATTTGAATGCAGGGCTATAATTTTATACAGATATTATTATTTCAATAGTTTCTCTTGAATTTTCATATCTAGATCAAAAATAATCAGGAGACATCAAATGTTAACATTGAAATTTTTGGAAGATGACATAGTGAAAAGAAAACAAAATTATGTTATAAATACAAAGTCAAGAATCTAAATCCTAGTCCTATTCATAGTCACCAGATATATATTCAGATTCTTCCTCAAAGTCTTAGTTTACCAATTTGTAAAACACAGACAATAAAAATGTACCCCCTTCACCAAACAATTGAGATTTTAAAATAGAAAATATATGTAATACGTAGAATACAAACCCTCAAAGTGCTTCCTAGCTACACAACTACTTGTGTGACTGGATGTTCACAAACAGTAAAGTCTACATGGGAATTGGGGGAAAAGGCCAGATTCCACTTCTAGCAACATGTCGTACCGAGAACCTTTACTGACCCCTCCTGCTGAAAATAATAGAAAATATTGGATAAACCATTTTAAATGCACTCATTAGTTGGTAAGAAAGCCAGGAATATTCAGGGCAAAAGTTAAATGAAGAACAGAAAAGGTCAACTGAGCTCTCCATAGCTGATTTTCACCCTGAAGGATTTGCCAAAGTGGGTAAACTCAATTACACCTTTTTTGTTTTGACCCACCTAAAGTGGGGGTGGGGGCGGGTCCGGGACTCAAAAAGCTACAATCCTCAGCATGAGGTTGCCTTACTCCAAGTGAGTTGCATGTTCCAATGGGACTTTTGAAAAACTAAGAAGAAAAGAAAAAGCACTGCCCTGGGCCATGGCATTGAAGAGAGGCAAGAAAACATTTCTCCTGGGAATTCAAAACCACAAACCAGACCTCACAAGGGTAATTACAATTTAAAATTCCATTTGGTTGTTCTGAAAAACCTCAAGCTCAGAATTTATTTTAAGAGGTCAAGAACTAGAAGGGGTCCTAGGCAAATAACAAAATAATGCTCTATTCTTCTCTGGAGAAACCCAACTTTCAATGATTCTCCACAGTTACGGAGAAAAATAAATTTTCTGAGAAAAATAAGCATTAATCGCTCACGTCCACACAAACAAAATAAATAACAAAATAAACACCATATAGCAGAACAAACTAATTTTCAAAAGAACCAAACAGAACTCCCATGAATAAACAATGTATTACTAAAAACAAAAAATGTTAAGGGCAGATTTAACAGCAGATTAGACAAATTAAAAGAGAATTAGTGAACTGAAAGACAGAGGAAATTGCTCAAACCAAAGTAGTCAAGGACGTTGGACATACGAACAAAAGGTTAAGAGGCATAGAGAACAGTATAAAGAGCTCATAAAAATCCACAGTTGTATAGGCATTAAGAGAAATAAGAAGCAAAATATTTTTGGCAATTTCTCTTCAAACTATAAAACTTAAAAAAAAATAGTAATCTAAGTTTCTAAAAAGCCCAACAAATCTAAAACAGAATTTTTTAAAAAAAGAATCTACACACTGAAATATCATAGTGGAATTTTATACCAAAAGAAGAGAATATTTTAAAAGTGACCAGAGAGAGAGAGATAACCTTCAAAAAACATAAGAAGGAAAGCTACAACTGGATTTTAAAGGCAATACTGAAGCCAAATTATTTATAGTCAAGATAGTGAAATAATACCTGCAATGTGCTAGATAAAACAGAATTTTATATAAAGAGAAATGTCAATCTGTGGTGACACAAAAAAGTGGGAAAAGGCATAAATACGTGGGTAATGTTAACAAAACACTCACAAAGACAATGATAGCATTCTGAGTAATTAGCTCTTTTAAAACAGGAAATTAAATGCATTACAATGATAGTATACAAGAGGGGTTGAAATTAAATGTTTAAATAAAACAGACATTAATGAACTTAACACTGTGCTAATTTGAACATACATGATAAATTACTAAGATTATCATGAAAAGCAGAATCTATCATTTTGAAACTAATAGGGAAAATGATTTCTTTTAGGCAAAAAAGGAGAAAAAGACAAAAGCACAAAATATGAGGAAAAAATCAAAATGCATCATTCATTATTCATGATATATTTAAAGAACTAATTTTTATAGTTAAAATTACAAAAATAGGCTAGGTAAAGTTACAGAAGCCAGCTATATGATGCTTATAAGACACATGTTAAGATGTAATAATACAAAAAATTGAAAATAAAAGCATAATTAGAAATACCACAGCTAGTACAGTTATATTAAATATCAGATATAAGAGACTTCAAGGCAAAAAGAATTAGGAGAAATAAAGACAGTTCCTTCATAATAGTAAAACATTATATTCACCGGAAAAATAATTCTAAACATTTTAGAGTTACTTAAACAATGAACATTGACAAAATAACAATGAAATACCTCTCTAACTCATCAAATAGATAAAATATCAGTAAAACTGAAATCTCTGAAATAATTTGATGCTGAGATCTGCTTAAAATACTTCCCCCCCCCCACAAAAAAAAAGAAGTGAAGAGGGGGAAAAAAAGATGAAACAAAATTGGACTTTTTGAAGATGAGTGATAGATATATGGGGAAGGGTCCACTTCATCTTATTTTCCTTTTCTATGTCTTTGAAGACTTCTTTAACTTTTCATAAAATAAAAGTGTAAAAGGCAAAAAGTATAAAGATTTAGGAGAGCAAACATAAGAGACTGATTGACTTTGAAATAAAGAATGTCTCATACAGAATATAAACACAGGCTACAAACAAAAAATAATTATAGCCCATATAACCAAAAAAATTATCCATAATACATAAATATAAATCAGTTTTTAAAAGAAGATGTAATCAAAAGGGAATGGGGGAGGATAAGAAATAATCAGGAAGAAGCATTTAAGAAGAATGTATATGAAAAGATCTACTCATTAATAATTAAGAAAATGAAAATTAAAAACCACAAAGAAATGTATCCAGACTCACCAAATTGGCAAAAATTGAGAACAAGGACAATAAGTGTTGATAAGGATAAGGAGCAGAGGTGGATTCCTACTCTCTACTGGTACAACCACATTGGAAAACAGGCATTATCATGAAGTAAGGTAAACCATACTTGCTCAACAACTGCAGGGTCAGACAAGGCCCTTGAAATTCTCTTATACAATAAGATTATTCATGAGAACAAAAGACTGGAAACAATCTAAAAATCCATCTATAGTAAATGGACTGTAAAAGTATGTGGTACAAACAACTAAATTCAACAAGCAGTAAAAGTGAATGGGTCACAGCTATGTGCTTCAACATAAACAAATCTCAAAAAACCTAACACCGTGCTAAAAAGGTAAAAAAGAATGCAGTAATATGCTTCTTTTTATCCAAAATTTAAAGTCAATCAAAGCCAAACACTATTTTATTAAGGGATCTATCTTAATATAAACATATTAAAACTATAGGGTAAAACTATAAAGATAACAAGGAAATTATTTACAGAATATTGGTGGGTGAGAGAAAAGAACAAGGAAGACCCTAATGTATTGATAAAATTTTATTTCTCGGCTTAGAAGGCAGGATTTACATCTAAGTCTGTTTAGTATATTAAACCAAACATAAGTTTTCATACAGTTTTGAACATCTGCTATGTTTTACAATTAAAATTTTCAAGCACCAGAAAGAAAAAATTTAGTTTATAAGAATAACTTATTATAACATTGTACCAAAAGTTTAATTTCTAGAAAACAAGAGGAAAAAGAGGAGCCAGAGATCATAGTTCGAAGTCAGCTAACCAGCTAATCTGGTGAGTTCAGATTAAGAGAAAGGGGCAAAGGCAGATTGAAAAAATAACCAACTATGTGTGGGTGAAAACATACATACAAATATTTAGGAGTTTAGAAAAGGAGTTTAGAAAGTCATTTATTCCAATCTTGCATCCCATGCAGGGTTCCCCTGAGCAATCTGTATAACTACACTGTCTAATAACCCCTGCCAAAGCATGTAGTGATGGGCAGCTGGATATCTCATCAAGGCAGGACATATTTCATGGTTGACTTAAGCTGTTCCCTGGGGCTAAGCCCTAAATCTGCATCCTAATGACTTTCATCTATTGACTCTGATGCTGGCCTCTGAATCCACTGTAAAAAGTATCTTCCAGGACTGCCCTTTAAATATTGAGATGATCATCATTTTCCACATAGATTTTCGCTTCTCAGGACCAGATTTCCCAGATTATTCAGTGATTCATTGTTTGTTGTAGTGTCCAATCCCCACCATTCTGTTTACCCTCCACCTTCAGTATCTCATAATACATGAGGCAAGGACAAAATACTACCACAGTACAGGAAAACTATTCCCTTAATTGTTCTGGATATGCTAGCTTTCCTGGTAACCACACAAATTTAGGCTCACTTTGAGGTTTTTCAAACATACTCAAATTTGTAAATATGGTCTGCAAAACATAACCACTCTACTTGGGAACTCAGAGATACATGTACCTCTGTCAAACTTTAGACTGTTTCAGTATATTCAATCTTTTGAGCTCCAGTTCTGTCATTTAACATCTCTCCTAGATTGATATATTTGTAATTTTGACAAGACTACCTCATAGTTTTATCTAAGTCATCAATAAAAGCACTGAACAGAAGAGGATAAAGACAGGGCCATATATCATGTCATTAGAAACCTAACGTCAACATTTCTAGAAAAATTAAGCCATCACTGAACATGTTTTAAGAAAAACTGGGGCTGGGAGTGTGGTTCCATAGTAGAGGGCTTACCTAGCATGTATAAGACCCTGGGTTCAAGCCCCAGCACCACAGTAAAAATAAATACATACATACATACATACAAATAGACATACATACGAATGAACAAAATGCTATTAC